TTAGTGATTATGACCTGAGATACAGGGGGAAACTGAGGCTTGAGAGGTGGTGTGCAGAGGCCATGGCTGATATTTCTGTTCATTTTCTACCTTGAGCAGGGCTCTGCAGGACTCAAATGTGATTGAGTGCAGATACTGTTACTAGCAGCTCATAGGAGCCCCTGTCACCAGACTAGCCCCTAGGGCTGAGAAACCATGTTGGTCCAGCAGGTGGCACCAAAGTGCACAGCAGAAGGGCAGGGATGGCTAGAGATTCTGAAGGCTTCTTGGAGGAAGTGGCTTTCTAAACTCCAACCCAAGAATTCTGTGGGCCCAAGCTGAATTTTGAAGGCACAGGGCAAGGGAGGGCCTCTGGGCAGAGGAAGACAGCTTGCCCCACCCCCACCTCATAAGGGCCTCTTTGGCCTGGCGGGCAGCCGGCCTTCCACTCCCCAGCTGTCTTCCCTTGGAGGGAGACGCTGACCAGCTGGAACCTCATTCCCTCCTATTGAGGCCAAATGAGGGGAGGAACAGTAGGATGGCTTTCTGGGGGTAGGGAGACAGCTGCTGAAGCCAGGCAAGGAGGAGGAGGATTTCCTTGCCTCAGCCTTGGGAGGAAGGCAGATGGCTGGCCAGCATCATCTCAGCTAGGCTTCTTCTGCCTCCACCTCCCATCTCCTTAGAAAGAAAATTCTGACCCTCACTGAGGAGCAGATAGAGGCAGGGGCTGCTGCAGCAGCAACCTTCTAGTCAGTCCAGGGGGAGAGATGTGCTGGGCCTGGCACAAGATGGCTTGAGATTGGCCTAGCTTGGGTTCAGAGAGAGCCTGGGAAAGGGGGCTGGGGTGGCATGATTGGGAGTAGCCCTTACTTGGCTCAGTAGTCCCCTCAGGATCCAGCTAGGACTTGTGGCAGGAAAGGCTGGGGGGATCCATGGGGTGTGACCACCACCCTCCATATCTGCTGTTGGCTCTGAAAAGTGAGTTGCAGGCTCGGCGCCTGTAGCTCAGGTGGCTAAGGCGCCAGCCACATACACCTAAGGTGGCGGGTTTGAATCCAGCCCGGGCCTGCCAAACAACAATGATGGCT